TGAACAGACGCGTGGTTGTTCACACCTCTCCCCGTCAGCACGAGGGCAGATCCCCGTCTCCCCTGAGAAGCACCGTAGTGCCTGCCCGAGCCCTGCCCCGCGCCGTGCTGGGCTGGCGGTGTGCTGTGTCGGCTCAGACAGCGTGTGCCCTGTGCCTCTGACGGGGGACACAGGGGTGTCCCGAGAGCAGCCGGGAGACGAGCCTGCCCTCTGCCACCACGCAGGGACACACCGTTATACCTGTGTGCTCCGGGCAGCCCCAGTCAGTGCTCTGGGAGCCGTGGCCTGGGGCCTGCCTGCCTCAGCCTCCCAGGTACCCTTAAACCACACCCTTAAACTGCCCTGAGCTGCGTCCCCACTCAGCCTGGCCTCAGCTCCTTCAACAGTTCAGGGCCCCTCTGGGGCCATCAACTTGGAGGCCCTGAGCCATTAACGTTGGCTACACGGGGACACACTCGGGGCAGAAACTGCCGCCCTGCCCGTCCCTTCCCAGACCTGACCTTGCGGTGCGTCCCCCAGGGAGCCCGGCCTCCCCGTCCCTCCCTCCGAGTCCCCTCAGAACCCCGTGTCACCCGTCAGTCCACCCTTCCACCCGCCCACCTCTGAGCCCCACTCACCACACGTCCAGCCACTCTCTACCCTCCTCAGCCACTCCTCCATCTGTCCACCACCCGTCTGTCTGTCCGTCCTTCCTCCCATGACCTCCCATCTACCCAGCCATTTCCCACCACCCATCCTCCGTGCAGCCTCCACCTCTCACCCGCGCATCCGCCCGTCTCCTCACCCACCTGTCCACACACCCACCCAGTGCCCCCCGCCCAGCCGCCCGCCGTCCACCTCTCGGCATCCGTCCATCTGGTCCCGGCAGCTGCTCAGTGAGCCCCGGAGGAAGGAAGGAACGGCGAGCTCCTCCCAGGATCCACTCAGGAACCCTAAGAAAAAGGGACAGGGTGACCTCCAGCAGGAGGCTGACCAGACCCCTCTCGCCCTTGCCCGATCCCTCTGTGCTTCCCGGCCAGCATTTGCTGAGGGCCCCCTCCAGGCCAGGAGCTGCACCCTTGGAGCTGGGCCCTCGCCCAGCAGCTTTGGGGAGACGGGTTGATCAGTGACCACATCAGGGTGCACAACCAGCAACAGCCATATGTGCCCAGGAGAAGAAGGCCCGGCCTGTCCCCCGGGTCCTGAGCCAGGCCTTCACCCGAGGGCTCCTGTGGGCCTGGAGGCTACAAGGCTGGACAGGGCAGGGCGAAGGGGCTGGGGGGGCGGTGATCGAGAGGCCCGGGAGGGAACCTGCCAGGGCGCTGAAGGGGCAAACGGGAAGCGGGGCTGAAGGGGGGCCAGGAGGGTGGGGAGCAGTGTGCTACGGGCTGCGGTGGAGACCGGGGCCGGCCCAGCCCTCGGCTCCTGCGCCTGTCCCCGGCTCTGGCTCCTGGAGCTTGTGCAGAGAGAGCACCTCCTCTGCCCCCGCTGATGCCAGCCTGGCCCAGGCTCAGACCTCAGCCCCTCGCTCTCCACTGAGCCCTGCAGCCGGGGCCACAGTGCCAGCCTTCCCGCCCCAGAACCGTCCCAGCGCCTCCCACATCTCAGGCGGCCTGACAGTATGAGTGGCCAGGCGGGCACGGGCGCCTCGTGGGAGTCTTTCCGGAAGGTGATGGGGTACTTGGGGGTGGGCCTGGGAACTCAGGGACCAAGACACAACCTCCGTGTCCCTCAGGGCCAGAGGCAGAGCGTGAGCTACTCCAGCAAGAACTCAGGACGAGGTCCTCAGAGCCACGTGTCCCCCTTCCTGAAAGATCGGGACAGCACAGGGCTGGGACTCAGAAAGGCTGAGGCCCAGGCCTGACCTGGGCGACCTTGAGTGAGGCCAGGTTGTGCCTGCTCTCAGAGGCTGAGACAGAACCATCTCCAAGGAAAATGAGGCTGGGTGTGAAGCCCACAGGGCCTGAAGCAGGGGGAGGCGTGGCTGCTCCCTAGACCCCGCTGGACCAGAGAAACGTGGCTCGGGCCGAGACGGAATGGACCAGCTGGAGTCTGAAATCAGAGGCAGACTCGTGCAGTTCTCCGTGTGGGTTCTGGAGCCAGACAGCCTGGGCTGCAGCCCCAGATCTGTGGGTTAGAAGCTGTGTGACCCTGGGCAAATAGCTTAGCCTCTCTGTGCCCGAAATTCCCCATCTGAGAAGTGGGAACCGTGCGTACCCACTCTGTCCTTGGGGCTGGAAGGATGGCTCTGGATGCTGCCTGCCAGTCTGGAACAGACCCTGGAGATCAACACGGCCGGAATTCTCCTGCAAAGACGCATGCGCCATGGGCTGAACCCAGCCCTGAGAGGGGTGGAGCCGAGACCAGCTTGATGAGGGCCAGGGACTGTGAGCTACTGTTCCTCGGGAGCCTGCCCTCCGGACAGCTGGAATGTTCCCCATCACGCGAAGAGCCGGCAGATTGGAATTTAAAACTGTTTCCCCTTTTAGAGTGAGCCCTGCCTGAGTATTTCTGGCCTGTGAAAGGAACATAGTTTTAGAGCCAGGGCAGAAAACCACATGTGCGTGCACAGCCCAAGGAAAACACGGCCACCGTGGCCCGCGCCGCAGCCTGCCGGGCTCCGCGTGCTCGGGTGGGCGGGGAGGCCTGCGGGGAGCCCGCCAGGGCCAGGGTCAGCCGGTGGGTGGGCTGGTGGCTGTGAGAGGCGACAGGGAGGACCAGGCTGGGACCAGGAGCCCAGGAGTCACAGCAGCAGCAGCGTCTGGGGTGTGATTTAAGGCCCTCAGTGTGCAGCGGAGCGCGCCTCTAACCTTGCAGGCAGGGGTTCCGCTCTTAGGTGGCCACAGAACAGAAAGGCTTTGTGTGTCTCCTTTTTTTTTTTTTAAATGGAGTCAGGGTCCTACTATGTCGCCCAGCTAGTCCTGAACTCACTATGCAGCACAGGCTTGCCGAGATCCTCCTGCCTCAGCCTCTGGAGTGCTAGGTGACAGGTGTGTGCCACCACCCCTGATGGTATTATGTGTTTTCAGGAAAAGGCATGAACCCAACACTTAGGGGAAAAACTGCTCCTGACATGAGCTCCAGATGGAGATTCCCTAAAGCCCAACAATGGATAAGGCGAGGCACATTCATCCGCCAGGGGAGCACTATTCAGCACCAAACAGGATAAACGGCTGCTACTTGAAAACACAGGGGTGGGGTGGAGTGTGCCACCGGCACCCTGGAGGCCTGGGTTCTACCCCCCAGCACCGTGGAGCAGAACAAAGCAAAGCACCCCCAGATGGACGTAATGTGGAGTAGAAAGCTGGTCCCCAAGAACACGTGATGGTCTTCCACCTCCAGGGTACAAACAGGGCCCGCAGGAGTTTTGGCTGGGACACACAGCCAAGCCCAGAAAACACTGGACAGCAGAAGCAGCCGGACACAGAGCCCGCGGCCTGTGGGGGCTCCCCAGACCCGGCCACTCTGCAGAGACCAACCACAGATCCCCAGTGCCGGAGCTGGGGGAGCTGCACGGGGGCACGGGGGCACAGGGTCAAGGTTTCCCTCTGGGGTGAAGAAAACGGGGTGAAGCCCTCATGCTGGGGCCACACTGCTCGGTGAACTCGCTCACGCGGGCCAGTTGCGGACTCTGTGGCCGACAGCTCCATAATGCCGCCTAGAGAGGAGTCCGGAGTTAGAACTTGGGGTGCCCGGAGTCCTGGCTGTGAGCTGTCACTCTTGGCAGGGGGACAGAACAGCTCTCCTGGGAGCTGGACGCATCACTTCTAGCCGGCCCCACAGGGGTGTCCAGCTTGGGAGAACTTGGTGAGATGCCCATGTTTCTGTCCAGAGGTGACACTGCAGTGAAGGTTTAAAAAGCCCAGCACCCCAGTTGAGCGCTAGACGCATGCTTCCGGGCCACCGCATGTCCCTGTGACAAGTCCAGCAGCAGCCCGGCAACCGCATAAATAACAGGCCGGGAAGGCAGCTGGCAGCTGGGCTTGGAACACACTGTCAGTGACTCAGAGAACAGCTGGAAAGAATCTGGGGCCCCCACTTCCCGGCCCTCCCGTGCCAGCCCATGCGGCGCTCCAGGCCCTGGGCTTGGGGACCCTTGGGCTGAGTGTAGCGGCTGCTGGTGGAGTCATGGGCAGGTCCAGAAGGCGGCCAGTGAGCCCTGACCATCAGCCTCCTTGGCAGGGCCCGGCGAGGGACAAGGAAGCCTTTATGGGGCCGGATCAGGCGAGGCTGGCCTGCACGGGGTGGGTGAGAGCTAGGCGCCCGGGTCCAGGCTGCCCTGACACGGCCCAGCAAGGCGGGGCTTGGGGCTGGGGTCACTGTGGCCAGCATCGGCGTCCTGTGGGCAAAGACATTTGGTGCCTATGTTCTAGGAGTTCGTGGTGAGACCCAGAGGGCAAAGCCACTGCATTTGGTGGCCCTCTAACAGATGAGTCCTGTGGTCACAGGCTGGGGGATGAAAGCTGGCTGTACCCCGGCTACTGTCCCCACCTCTGGCCCACCTACACCCCACGGTCCCCAGACCCTCCGAGGTGTTGATGGCCGTGCTGGGTTACTGCCGCCAGCCCTGGGCACGGCAGCCAGCAGCCAAGGCGTCTCGGAGGCACTGGGATATCTGTGGGGCGACTGCCTGTCCTCCCACGCAGGTCAGCGCTGGCCACCGTTTATCAAAGGCATCTTAAAGGCCCTGAAGTTCACGGCAAAATCCTTGGATTTGGGGGTGCCAGTGGAGGTGGCATCTCTCAGAGCCATATGCTGGGCCCTGCTCTCAGAGGTTCTGTGTCAGGTCAAAGGGGAACAAAGGGAGGTTTTGGGGGGCCTGATTCTGCTCAAAATCACACCGCACACCCTGAACTTTAATTGCACAAACACGGGCTGCGATTTTCTTTAAACAAGGAACTCGGCAGCTTACGGCACATTTCTGCCTACTTTGAAAACCTGGAGATTTTTTTTTAAAGTTCCCCTCGTCCCCCAATCTCAGAGACCTCAGAAGCTAAAAAAGGAACACATCTAAGACAGAGTGGGCGCATGTTGTGTTTATATTAAGGAATGAGCACAGTTAGGATGGGTGGCACACACGGAACTCTGCCAGCCTGGCAGCTGACCCTGGCTCCCACTGCCGCCCTGAGCGTCTCCCTGCTGTGCCGAGCCTCAGTTTCCCCTCTCTCCAGTGGACGAAGGCTTCCCGCCAGGCCTCAGTGCGCCGCTGTGTCACGAGCCACCAGATGTGAGACGGTTGCTCGGCCGAGGCTGCATAAATCCCAGGACGTTTTCTTCTTATCCCTAACATTCTGCCTGAGGAGGAGGAGGAGGCATCCTTGCCAGGCGCCCGCCATGTCTGGAGCTCTTTCCTTCCTTCTTAGGCAGAATTTGAAAGAGAAGGGAACACAGAACAGGGCGGGCAGAGGGTCGCTCTTGTCGTCCTGGTCCCCAGCGAGCCGGAGGCCAAGCACACTGCGCCGCCGGCTGCCGGGATCGGGCAGGGTGGGGCAGCCCGAGGAGGTGATTGTGTCCTGGGGGGCTGCCAAGGCCCCGGCGGGTCAGGGGGGCAGGAAGAGGGCAGAGGCCCGGGGAAGAGGAAGCCAGGTCACAGAGCCGGCGCGCAGGAGCGTGGGGAAAAGTCACAGCCAAGCGCCAGCTCTGGGAAGAGGGAAGGGTGCGGAGATTCGAGGAAGCGACTAGGGGTGGGCCCCGGGTCTTGGGGGGCCACCCTGAGGCTGGGACAGAGGCAGCATCCCTGGACCCAGCACTGATGGGGCCCCAACCCTGACTTGGGCCCTGTGAACCCAGAACAGGGCATTTGGAGGCCAAGGGGGACGCAGGAGACGGACGCAGCTGTGTGTGTGTGTGTGTGTGTGTGTGTGCACACGTGCGTGCGCGACACTGGGAAGACATGGTCCCCCAGGGACACAGGCCTGCACGTGGCGCCCAGACACCCCCACAGGGGGCTGCGAGTGCGAGGGCGGGGGGCTCACAGCTGCCCACCCGACGGCCTCTGGTCCTCGGGGAACCTTCTTGCATCTCCCTGTGTGAACGCGGCCGGCTTCCTTAGGTGCGGACCTGAGAACACACGGGCCGGGCTCAGGTCGCTGCTGTCCAGCGAGCCGGACTTGGGGTGAAGCCACTCTGAGCAGGGGGTGACGCCCACCAAGCCGCAGAGCTGGCCAGGGCTTCCCTCCTCCTCAGCTGGGAGCTGGGACATCACAGAGCCCACCTGGGCTGCTGGCCCTGACCCTGGGTCAGCGACGCGGCGCCTGTGCGGTGCAAGTCTGGCGCGTGGTGGCTATGTTGTTTTATTTTTCTTTCCTGGATGGGGAAACTGAGGCTAAGTAGCAGGCCAAGGCCGCAGCACTGGTGACCAGGGGCTGTGGCATCGGTCTGTGGTCCCTTGCCGCCTACCCACAGATGACCAAGCCTGTCACTCGCCTTCTTCCTCCTTCTCTGACCTGTGCCTGGGGACTTTCCTGAGTCACTGTCACAGAGAACCAGAAACAGAAACCTCTGGTCCTCTTCACACACACTGGCACACGCACGCACACACACGCACAGGGACCCACAGAACCATACATGTAGACAAATGTGTGCATGCGTGTGTGCACAGCACATATGTGCATCAGCACACTCACACACGCACACACACACACACAGGAAGCTCCTCTGGAGGCACCTCCCTCTGTCCCAGTGACCCTGGGCTGTCCTCAGGCTGGGCATACGTTGTCACAGCAGCTCCTGACACTGGGCAGGAACAGCTGGGCCCCACACACAGCACCCACCACACACCCTGTCTCTGTGCCGGGGCGCCCTCAGGCCCCATGAGGTAAGGCCCGCCGAGTGGGCTGCCCAGGGTTGAGCCATCAAGGACATAGGATGGGGTCTGGGAGCGTGGGAGCTGTGCACAGCCAGCCCTGGTCGCCTAGAGAGCAAGACGGAGCCAGGTTCTGTCCTCTGGAGAGGTGCTGGGATCCACACAACAGCAGAAATGCAGCGGAGAAACCTGACCAAACTCGGGGGACCGGCCGTTTCAGAAGACCAGAAGCCTCTTCTGTCACCGCTCCAGGACCTTCAAGACTCAGCGCTCCCCAGAGAATGCTGGGCAGTGAGGACAACCTGTGCTAGGCCTGGGGGACCCCGCCTACCCACACAGAGCCCTGGGTTCCCCCACAGCCATCCTGTGCCCAGCCAGCTTGGGTGAGACCCAGCAGCCCCGCAACTGGCACCGACCCAAAGAAACAGACTTTGCCCTTTCAGGGTTTCCTAATCTGTCCCACTGAGTGGGTTTTACAAATGCCAGGGCCCGGCAGCCCCGCAGCCCCGGGTGCTTCTGGACAGCTTGCTGAGCCAGCAATTTCCTGGACCCCGCGCAGGGAGGCCTCAAGTCCCACGTTCCCGCTGCCAGGCCAGTCTTCCTGTTAGTCCTGCAGTATCCCCAGGGATGCCCAGGAGGTGACCCTTTCCCTTTTAACACACGGGCCCCTGCCCTGGGGTGGGGGGAGGAAGCCCCTTTCCACTTCCACCCCCGAGGGCCAGAGGCCCGCCCAGTGCTGTCCCCAGGAGGACTCCAGCAGCCCAGTCAGGACAGCTGCACACCGCTGGGAAACCACAGGCTTGGATCCTGCCTGAAGCTTCTGGAAAGATGTCATTCCACAGACGGGACACGTGAGGTCCAGAGAGGTCCCCTGGCCGGGGCCAGCGCCGGGGAGCGGAGGAGGGGTCCTGGCTGCGAACTTGCCGCCGCTGGCTCGTGCACAGATGCTGATGCGGACCAGATGTGGGCCTCCTGAGGCTGCGGGGTCAGAGGGGTAACTGAACCCTGGGCGCCGCCTCCTTCCCATCTGTGCAATGGGCTGACCGCGCTCTGGACCTGGCCAGTGGGCGGAGTCACTGGGCTGCGGTCAGGGTTGCCCGGAGCTCTGCGGGTTTCCCCGCGTTAAATGCAGTGAGGTTGGAGAAACAGCAGCTCTCAGGGCAGCTGCTGTTCAACGCCGCGGGAGAAGGACCCGGACAGGCCGAGTCCCCTGCCCTGGACACTCAGGACCCTCTCTGCCTCTGCCTTGGCCAGCCACGGGGAGGGCAGTGCCCGTGAGGACCCTGCCCCAGGGCCTGGCGTTCACTGACGGGCGGGAAGAGACCAGGGCTGAGGCTTCCTTCCTTCTCCCAAACTGGAGCGCCAGCCGGAGCGCGCGGCGCGGGCGGGGAGGGTCGCCCTCGCTCACCTGGCTCCTCCCACGTCCCGCTTGACCTCTGCTGAAAGACCAGCCTGGGCCGCCGCCGTGTCACGGGTCCCCAGGGGACCGTGGAGCCGAGCGCGCTGCAGCGGGAGGCCCCTAATTGGGGCCATGAATCACGGCGCGCGGCCGGGCTGGACACAAAATAGATAGAGGCGCCGGCGAGCCGCGGTGCGCAGTGTGGGCCGCGGAGGGAGGAGGCGGCGAGGGGCGGAGGGGGGAAGGGAGGGGGGGGAGGGGGAGGGGAGGAGGGGGAGGGGGGAGAGGAGGAGGGGGAGGGAGAAGAGGGGGAAGGGGAGGGGGCGGGGAAGAGAGGGGGCGGGGAGGGGCACGGAGGGAGGAGGGGGAGGAGCCCGCGGGGGCGGAGCGGGGAGGAGAAGCGGGAGGCGGGTCCCCGCCGCGGCCCGCCCCTCCCGGTTAAATGACCGGCCTGGCCGGCCCGCCTGCACATGCGGCCGCCGCTCGCGCCGCCCAGGGCTCGGAGGCCGGAGCCGCTGCGTTCCGGGCGCTCGCGGGCGCCGAGGCGGCCGCGGGGGGCGCGGGGACCCGCGGGCGCCACCCCGAGCGCCCGCCCCCGCCCCGCGGCGCGCACCCCGGCCCGGGCGGGCGCGCGTGGGGTCCCGGGCGGCCCATGGCGGCGGCGGGCGCGCGCGCCGCGCTGTCCTGCTTCGTGTGCGGCGGCGGCATCGCGCGCGGCCGGGCGCTGAAGCTGCAGGTGCGGCGTCCGGGCGCCGGCGCCCCCGCGCGGCCCTTCTTCCCGTTCCTGCTGCGCCAGGAGCCGGCGCCCGGCGCGCGCGGGCTGAGCGCGGCCGACGGCTGCGTGCTGGTGTGCGCCGTGTGCCGCTGCTTCCTGGGCGAGCAGTGGGCCGCCTTCGAGCGCGCGCGCACGCCCGTGGACCAGCGCGTGTACTGGCTCAAGCGGCCGCACCAGTGCCACGCGGGCGCCAGGGCGCGCGGGGCCCGCGAGTGGGACGGCGGCGGCCACGACGCGGACGACGGGCGCGGGCCCCGCGCGGCCGACGCCGAGGACGCGCGCGACTCGGAGCTGTCGGAGCTGTCGGACCCCGAGCCCGCGTCGGAGCCGGAGCCGGAGCCGGACACGGCCTCGCGCGAAGCTGCGGCTGCCAGCCCCGGACTGGACGCGCCCCCCGTGCCGGGACCCCCCGCGGGAGAGGCGGAAGACGCGCACACCTCGGGGCTCCGCGAGGACCTGGAGCCCCAGCCTGCAGCCCGGCGCAGGCGCAAGGGGGTCGGCCGGCACTGGGCCCCGGAGCCCCGGGCCAGTGTCCTGAGGGGCATTCAGGACCCTTGGCGGGGCCACCCTGCGCAGGCTGCCACTTCAGAGGGTGTGGACGGAGACCCCTTGGGCAGGGCCACTGGGCCCCCGGAGAGCACGTCGGAGGACAGTGACATCAACATCACCAGCGAGGACGAGGACTCCCGGGAGCAGCCTGCCCGGGACCCCTGCGGCCCCAGGGAGAAGGACATTGGTGGCCACGTCCCACAGGCCCTCCCTGAGAGCCAGGCGGTGCCACCAGAGGGCCCCTGCTGCTACATCTGTGGGTCTGCGCTGTCGCCGGCCTCCCAGCACGAGGTCCACGTGCACAAGCAGGAGCGCCTGCCGCAGGCGCCCTTCTTCCCCTTCCTGTGGCTGCACAGCCCGCCGCCCGGCGCCCGGCCCATCAGCGAGGCGGGCAGCACGCTCGTGTGTCCCTGCTGCTTCTCGTCCCTCCGGCAGCAGTGGCAGAGCTTCGAGCTGGCCGGGGTGCCCGTGCTGCAGCGCCTCTACGTGGTGCCCCTGAGCAGCCGTGCCCCCGGCATGGCCTCCAAGGGCAGGCGGCCCCCCAGGGAGGAGGCCACGACCGGCTCCACCCTGCCCGAGGCCTGCTACCTGTGCGGAGAGGACTGCACCCCGGATGCCCGGGCCGTGCCCTCCCGTGTCCTCAACGGCAGCACGCGTGGCACCATGCACTTCCCGTTCCTCAGCCTCCTGCCCTGCCCGCCCAACGCCCGCGCCCCCAACAAGCGCTCTGAGGTGCGAAGCTGCCCCAAGTGCTTCAGCGTCCTGGAGGACGTGTGGGCCCTGTACCGGGCCTGCCAGAACCAGGAGCTCATCACCTCCGTGCAGGGCTTCCTGGGCCGCTACCACCAGGCCTTCGCAGCCTCCGACCCGGCCGTCTGCGACCCGCCTGCCCCGGCCCCCGGTGGCCCGGCCTCCGTGTGCTACATCTGTGGGGCGGAGCTGGGCCCTGGCAAGGAGTTCCAGCTCAACGTGAACCCCGCCAGTCGCCTGGGCGAGAAGGAGCCCTTCTTCCCCTTCCTGACAGTGTACCCGCCCGCACCACGTGCCAGGCCCGCCGACGCCACCGGCCTGGTGGCCACCTGCGTGCTCTGCTACCATGACCTCCTGGGCCAGTGGCTACAGCATGAGGCCCAGGGTGCCCACCACGCTGTCAGTGCCTGGTCCCGGCAGTACCAGGTGGACACCTTCGTGTGCTTCTTCTGCCAGCAGGAAAAGCGGCGCTGTCTGGGGCTGAAGTCCGTGCGGGTAGCCCGCCTGCCCCTCTTCCTCTACACCCTGCGAGCCAGCCACAGCCTGCTGGTGGACGATGGGCGGCAGCTGATCATCGGCGCCTGCCTGGAGTGTGGGACCCTGGTGTGTGCAGGCCAAGGGATCACTCGCCCCGGGCCCATGGGGTGGAGCTCCCCAGTGACCACAGCAAGAAAGGTAAGCAGCACATTCATCTCGTAGGAACATTCCTCTGAGGTGTGTGTGGGGCATGGAGAGGTGTTTTTGCTTTCTCTGGCGCTGTGCGGTCTGGCTTAGCAGAAGGTGCCCCTTTGGGGATCACTGAGCATGCACTTGGGTACGTTGACCTGCCAGCCTCAGGCCTGGGGCAGGGCTTCAGGGGCGTGGCACAGGATGGTGTGGAGTAGGAGGGCACTGGTGTGAGCAGAGGCGTGGGCCCGGCCAGCCGTGTTGGCCGCGCACTCTGTCAAACAGGAAGTTGGGGGCACGCCTTTGCCCGCCTGCTAACCCTGGCGGTCAGTGCCATGATGCAGGTCGCCAGGAGGTCCCCGCGGTCCTCCTCAGCCCCGGCCATCGCCGCCAAGCTCTTCCAGAGTTTTCCGCCCAAGTTCACGCTTCTCATTTGAGACTTTCTGGTGCTTAACAGCAGATGGCAACAGATTTCCAGACGTGGGGGCGTGGGACGTGGAGGCGTGGGATTTGGGCACAGCGGCCTCGCAGACTTCCCCAGCGGTGGCAGGAAGTCCTTGTGTGCAGTCATCTGTGCCTGTGGTGCGGCAGAGCCCGAGTCCCTGTCCAAGCCGCTGCCTTCTCCAGCCGCCTGGCTCAGGGACCGGCATCCGGCTTTGCCGCGGGGGGCAGAGGGCCGTGGACGGCGTGACAGCCCCTGTCCTGGCCTTTGGGGCCGGAAGCCTCATCTCTGCCAACACTGGGCTGCTGTGGGTTGGCAAAGGCCCGTAATTAGTGGTAGCTGCCGGCCAAGAGCCGCAGAGGGTCCAGGGTGGGCACGGCATCCCCATCCCGTTCAGGACCCTGCATCTGTCGGCGCTGTGACGGGCGTGCGCGCCCTGTGCGTGGCACACCTGTGACGTGTATTTCCATGACACCGACCCGGCTGCACCGTGGCCCACCTCTTCACACCTTTGGGCTCTGCTAGGCACAACCAGCGGGGATGCTGTGTGGTTCCTTGGACACTCGGAACCCGGCTGCTTCCTTGCCGGGAAGGGGAGGTGGATCTGCACGGGAGGGGACGTGGCAGAATTTGGAAGTGAAAATGTTTCCGGGCTCCCCGGTGGAGCACCTGGTGCAGGTGGGACCTTCATGATGTCACCTCATGGGGCAGATTCATCGCAACGTGGCAGTTCTGAGCCGAGTGTCCGAGTGTGGGGACAGTGCCGTGCTGTGGTCAGGGTTCCTGGAGGCTGGGGGTGTTTGGGGAGCACTTTGAGGTGGATGAGTCTTTCCGGGTTTGCTCGTGTACTGGGGCCGGGGAGATGCAGGCTGTGACCTCCCCCGAGAGGACCTGGAGGGGACAGAGAGGCGGCCAGACCGTGTGGACGGGCCCACAGGCTGGTGCCCACCCACGGGGGACGCATGAGCTCCCGTGGACCCTGCCCTTCCTGAAGGGAGTTGTCCGGCTCCTTCCTGTGTGCCCCCAGCCTTCTTCAGTCCCAGATGAGCGCCTTGGGGCGCGGCAGGTGGCATGGGTGGGTCTGGAGCCTGGGTCTTCCGCCCCACCCCATCTCAGCTGAACCTTGGGGAGCAGAGAGACAGGCAGAGGGGCAGGGGACGGGGTTGGCGTGAGCCAATGCCCTTAAAAGCAGTGTGGGAGGCCGGGCTTGGGCTCTGCCGGTGCTGTGAACACTGTGGGCAGAGCTGGGGACACCCAGCTGGGACACCCAGGGGCCGAGGTGCACGCCCTGAGCCCAGGAGGAGGCCTGTGCTGGCTGGCTCCCTGCTGGCTCCTGGATTCCTGCTGGATTCCTGCTGGGCTTCCTCTGGCAGCCTGCGGTTTGGGAACGTGTGTGCGGGAGGGAGTGGGGATGTGGGAAGGTGCCACGGGGAAGCCACTCTGGGGACACAGCACGCTCAGAAGCCCGTCCTGCCGCCGCCCTTGACCTTCAGGCTGTGCCCTTATAAGGGCTGGATCCCCAGCGACTGGCCTTGGCAAGGAAAGGCTGAGACAGGAGGGGGGTGGGGCCGTGACCACCCGTGGGGCTCCTCCATGTCGGTCTGGCAAGGTCCAGGCGGGGAGCAAGGACACCCCAGACGCGGGGGAAGACCCCAGGTCCACCTCAGGCAGCCGCCCTGTGCTGCGCTGGTGAGGCTGGGCTGTCCTCGTTGTCTGAACCACTCCCTGGCTGTCCGGAGCTCGGGACCCCCACCCCTGTCACATGGCTGAGACAGGAGTCCACAAAGTCAGGCAGCTCGGCCACTGCAGTAGGGCTGGTCTGAGCCCCACCCTGCCTCGTCCTATTGCTCTGTCCCTCCAGGCTCCAGGGTGCCGGTGGCCGTGTCTGGAGCAGCACTGGCCCCTATAGGGCAGGGGGACTGACCCACACCAGACTCCTGGCCCCAGAGGCTAGCAGTCTGGAGGCCTGTTTCCTTTCCCATGTGGCTCTGAGCAGGACACTCCCCGGTGTTGTGGGAGGAGCCCTGTGTGACCTGCACCCCTGTCCCCATCTTGAGTCCCCAGAGTCGTGCATTCCGACGGCCCTGCGATGGGGAGACGTCTGAGGCCACCGGACAGGTCTGATTCCCGGGGTGCCGCTGTGTGATGCCAGGCCCTGGGCACTGTGAGATCCGCCCTCAGTGGTGACAAGGGAGGGACAGAAAGAGGCGGGTGCAGTGGGGTGCTTGGATGCTGGCAGCCAGGGCACCAGTCTCTCGTGGCTGGGTGGAGAGACACAGCCCCAAGGCCCCCGGGAGTTGCCAGCGCCTGGGCTCAGCGTGGCACCTCATGCCTGTAAAGGACTGGTGCGCTGTGCTGGGCCCAGCCCAGTGCTGCAGGGAGACCCAGGAGGGTGGACCTAGGGCTGCGGGACGGGGTGACACCTGGGCCGAGTCCCGAAGGTGGAAGAGTGTGGCCAGGTCTGCGTGGGAGTCCTGTGCTCCTGGCTGGGGCAGGGGTCGTGCTCTGGGCATGGGGAGGGGACTGTGGCAGCCAGCCGTCTCCTGCAGCAGGACAGGCAGGCCTGCGGGGTGGGCAGGGCCCTCTTGGTGGGGTTGGAGTCCTGGAAGTCCAGGGACAGCAGTCTAGTTAGTGACACCAGTGGAAAGGTGGGTCTGATGGTGGTGCCTGTAATACCAGCACTAGAGGAGGCTGAGGCAGGAGGATCCGAGTTCCGGCCCGGCCTGGTCTGATGGAGGTCAGTAGAGTGCCGAGTGCCGGCTATACCTGGTCTCTGAGGAGGGCCTGGGCTTGGGGAGGGCGAGAGGGGAGGACCAGGGGCCAGGGTGTGGGCTGGGCCCACTGGGAGGAAACATTTTTGTGACAAGGAGATAATTCACACCCCAGGGAGTGCTGTATCCTTCTAAGGTCTTTGCAGCAGCAAGTTGAGGTGACGTTGGCGGCCACTGCAGCTGGCCCCGGACTGTCCCCTCTTCCCATGGTGTCCGCCCCGCCCTGCAGTAGCTGTGGCCCGAGTTGCAGGCTGGGCCTGTGACCCTGGGAGGGCCGCAGCCATCTGAGCTGTGTGCTCCGGGCTGAAGGGCGGCCCGAGTTGGGGCCCCGACGTACACTGCCCTGGCCCCGGTGACGGTGACCGCCTTGTGTCTGTGTTTTGTGTGGACATCTTGAGGTGTGCGGGGGACGCTGGCCTGTCTCCCACGAGACCCTAGGGTGACTTTGCAGTCACTGAGCAGGGTCCCCTGGCTGAGCCTGGTCGGGCCCAGGGGCTGGCGGGGGGACACCTCTGTGCTGTCCCCTGCAGGTGCCTCTCGCCTCTGTCACCTTGGCAGCGGGGAAGTGGCCGGCTGACGGCCACTGGGTGGTGTCCAGGCGCCCCAGGCTGTAGGCCTGCAGTGTGCCAGGTCCCTTGTGACTCAGGCTGCCAGGGTTTCATCAGCCATAGCGCCAGCTGCAGGGCTGGGCCTCGGCTTCAGGGGGGCAGAAGCAGGGCCCCCAGCTCCACCTACCCCACCCCACAGAGCGGAGTCCCCACCTGGCCAGCTGCTTGGAGATGACAGCACCTTCTGCCCAGGGTGATGGGAGTGCGTGGGTGCCCGTGCTCTGGATGGGGAGACTGAGGCTGCAGGAGGCCTACAGTGGGCCGTGCTGCTGGCAGGTGACGGGCGGGCTGAGCGGTTCTGAAGCCGGACTTCATCACTGCTCTCCTGAGCCCTGCACAGGGTCGGTGCCAGGCGCTGTGGAATGGAGCCGAGGTAGCCCTGGAGAGAGCGGGTGACATTCAGGACTCAGAACGAGGGCCCCAGAATGCCCCAATCTGGGCCTCCCCGGTGCCTGCGACCACCCCTGCCCAAACCCAGCCAGGCCACTGACCTTGGGGAGGCCGGACCCAGTCACCAGGGGCAGTGCTGGGGGAGCAGAGCCTCTGTCACCCGTCCCTGGACCCCAGTGCCCGTTGGAGGTGAAGGGGTATCTGGGAGTATGGGCACGTGACTTGGGACGGACCCTGTCCCCGGGGGACACCACTGGCCGGCTGGCCCCATCTGTGGGACTCGGGGCTTGGAGACAGAGCTGCTCTGTGACTGTCGGCTGGTGTCACTGTGACTGTTCACCGCCTTCCTGGGTTGGTCGGGGCCGTTGTACTGGGAGCTGTCCTGGGGACCTCACAGGCAGGGCAGCTGGACCTTGTGGGGGACAGGAACAGCTGGAGGGTCTGCCTCTCAGGTTGGGACAGCTGGGAGCCAGATTCTGGGGGTCACAGCCCCCACTCGCCCCTCATCTCCTTAGTGATCATGGAGCCGCTTAGAATGTGTGCCCTCGGGGGGAAGGAGGGACCCCGACACCCAGCGCCAGTGACAGCCCCGCTTTCTCAGCGAGGCTCCGAGCTCTGTGTCTGCCTGCCCGTGATTCTGTTTGCCCCACGCCGGGCGCAGCCGAGGCCCCTGGGGATGTGGCTCTGTGCCGGCCCCGTGTGTGCATCTGTCTCACCAGCCTGAGGGCGCAGCAGCAAGGGTGGCGTTGTTACCCAGGGATCGCCGGCCGGGAGCCCTGGCCACCAGACTGACCTCTCAGTAAAGAATAGCCAGTGATGGGTTAGAACGGCCAACGGCTCTGTGGATAAGACCCATTGGAGGGCACAGCGCTGGAGCCCCAAGATCAAACCAGGCAGCTTTGAAAACATTGGTGAACCTGCTCCAAGCCAGGGCGCGGTGACACAGGCCGGTGAGCCCAGTACTGTGGGAGGCTGAGGCAGCAGGTCAGCAATTTGAGGGCCCCCTGGGAACTCAGCGCATTGGTGAGGCTCAGTCCCCGCATCAGAAAGCTGGGGTGCAGCCCAGTGCGAGGCCCGGAGAGAGGGAGGGAGAGGGAGGAGCTCCCCGGGCACCCGGGGAGTGGCCGGCACGGTGGGCTCATCTCCAGTCCAGTCTGGAAATTCCTGCCCTCCCGGGCCTCAGCCATCTCGCCCGTGTCCCCGGGGTGGTGGCCTCATCACCTTCCGCCTCCCTGTCTGCGGGTCCCTCTGTTCTGCAGTGATGGCCTCTTTCATTCTGACGCTGGTAACCGGTGCCTTCTTATGGATCAGGCCAGCTACAGGTTTGCTGATCGATCATATTGATCTGGGGTAGGCGTGTTTCAGCTCTCCTGCTCTCTGGCGTTTTCGGCCAGCCCGAGGGCGGGATCTCCTGCCTGGGCGGTGGGTGCCCAGGTCACAGGCAGCTTGCCAGGCCAGTGGGGAGGTCAAGGCCGTTGTCCTCCTGCTGGAGGGGATTTTTCTCTGAACCTTGGCCGGGTGAGGAAGATGTCGGAATCCAGTGTTTTCTGTTTTAACACAGAGAGATAACAGCATTGTTTCTCCGGCTCCGGCCACGGGGAGGCCGGGGCTCTGTCACTGTGGACACAGTGTGTGGGACTGTCCCTGTCCCCGACACTGGTACCTCACCCAGCTTGATGTAACCCTCCTGCCACCTCTTTTCCCTTCATGTTGCTGTGGCAACGGACCCCTCCCACCCCGGCAGCACCCAGAGCCCGGAGGGGACGCGGGGCAGGCACCCACCCCCAGCACGGAGCCCTCAGGGGCCGAGCAGAGGTGAGCCCTGGGCTCCCGTGGGTCAGCCAGGGCCAGCTGCACTGCCTGGTCCGCGGGGTCCTCTCCAGGCCACGTGGGGAAACTTATTACTGTGTCCTGTTGTTTTGTAGGATCTTGCTGAGCTTCCCAAGCTGATCTCCTAACTCTGACCCTCCTGCCTCAGGCTCCTGGGCGGCTGGTGGGCACACACACAGGTGTGCACACTCAGCAAGAGTTGCTTGTACAAAGGGCACGCTCGGCGGCTCTCCGTATGTTTACAGAGTTATCCTAGCATCTGCTCTGTTAGAACAGTTCTCATCACTTCCAAGGGAAACTTCACTCTGCCCTCCCTGGGTGCCTGGAGAATCCAATCTGGGTTCTGTCTCTGTGGATTTGCTTGATCTGGACATTAAATATGCGCAGGATTCTGTTGTGTATGCATATGGATACTTACATTTCTGTCTGGCTTCTTTTTACTGAGCATCCTGTTGTCAAGGTTTATCTCAGCTCTAGCCAACACCAGCATTGCATGCCTTTTCCTGGCTGAGTAATATTCCACCATGCAGAGGTCGCAGTGTGTTTAGCTGCTAAAGGGTGGTGGATATTTGGTTCTTTACACGTCTGGCTGTCGTGGATAACGTATCAAGTGTCTGTGTACAGACTGTTGTGTGCATGTGTTTTCCTTTGCTGTGGAGGGAGTGTGGGGTGGGCTGCAGGTCTGAACAGGCTACAGGTTGCACTGCGGTGCAGGACATAGCTCTCCTGAGTCCGGCCCCTGTTCCACCTTTCCTCAATGTGGTATGAGGTGAGGCTATTGCATGCCCCAGTTTCTCTGTCCGGGTTGCAGTGGCCCCAGGCGGCCCCGAGTGGGGGTGGACGGTGTTTTCCCATGCAGGTGGGGCTGGGGCACCTGTGTCCCCACCCCCAGCTGCAAGGCCCTCAGGAGCCCTAACCTTCACCCTAAGGCCTCTTTCCCAGCTCTCACCGAGGCTTAGGGCGGGGCCTGTGCCGGCCTCCCAGCCCCATGGGACCCGCAGGCCCCGCCCACCAGACCCTCGCAGGTGGGCAGCTCGCAACACCGGGCCTCTGCTCCTGTCCCCGGGGGGCTCAGGGTAGCCCCGCATCCGTGCGTCCGAGCCTTACCTCGTCCTGGTTCTCCGTCAGCTGCCCCGTGTTCTCTGCCAGCACCATGAACTGAACCCTGGATAGCCCAAAATGCTAAATGCCGATCCTCTGTTCATCAAGGAGAAACTGAGGCACAGAGACGCCCACACAGTGCCGGGTGTCTTTTGGGGTTCAGAGGTTGGCTTAGGGCTGCTGTGGCAGCCTTCACAAGGGACTCCTTCTCCTGTCAGGGGGAAGGACGGGTGCTGCTGGCTGTTTTCTGGGAGGCTCCTGAGCTGGGTTGACTGCAGGAGCTGGGGTGACTTTGGATACCTGACCGGCGCCCACGTGTGCAGAGGGGACTGGGTACAAGTGGAAACACGGGTGGACGGGAGCTACCGGGAGCCTTCCCCGCGGGACTTACAGTGCCTTTCACCGGGTGGTGCCCACTGAGACCCTGGCAGTTGGGGTGGCTTCGTTCTGTGCCACATTTCAGGAAGTGCTCCCAAAGCCATTTTTGCCAACAGCAGAACCCAGGGTCCCACCGGGGTCCTTTCTGAGAGGAGTTGGGAGTGGAGGTACGCAGCCGTGGGGCCCTGGACGGTGCCCGGTGGAAGGTCCAGGGCCCACCCTGCCATCCAGCTCGAGGTGGGGGGCGAGTGCTCCTCTGGGGAGCGGATGGGTGGGCAGGGCCGGGGATTTCGGAGGATTTTCTATTTTTAACCTACGATGTGTTTAACTCACCCAGGAGGAGCCGAGCTCTCTCTGGGCACTACAAAGCCGTTGTGTTTGGAGCCCATAAAAACGGTTGGCGAAGAGGGTCTCAGGAGCTCAGGGGCAGGCGGGGCCGCTGGGGGTGCAGGACCCGCGGAGAGCATGGCTGGGAGCGGCCTCTTCTCCCTGCTGCCCAGAGAGGCTGAGTCACTCGTGCCACCACACAGCGACGGGCGGGTGCGGCTCCCTGAGTGCGGCAGTGGGGCCCGGGCACCTTCCCAGGGCCCCGCGGGAAGGGGTGCAGTTCTGACAGCGGCTGCGGGTCCTTCACCAGCTCCCCAGGGCCCTGGGCGATACTTGGGGGCCAGGTCCGTTGAGCTTGGCTGCGGGGCGCTGAGGCTGCAAAGTCAGCAGCTCCCCGGGCAGCGCAGCGTCCTGGTCTGCTTAGCTCGGGATTTTCCAACTGCCGGGGAACAAACCCGCCCCCCAGGCCTCTGGGCTGCCAGATGAATTGGGAAAGGTTTCCAGTTTCCAGACCCAGGGGGATGGCGTCATGGGTAAAGGGTCAGGGGTCAGGGGTGAAGGGTCGGAGGTCGGCCCAGGATGTCCCCAAGGGAGGAAGCCGAGGACCCTCTCACGGTGTGTCAGCCTCGGTGGCGGGGACGCAGGAGCTGGCCCCGGCTGGGTTTGCCACATACCCGAGGGAGCGCGGGTGGCTTGTGGCAGTAGGCATGTGTGATTCCTCTACATTTAGGGAGGAGGGGACCCCACCCCGCGGCACCCTGTGTGGCAGCCCGTGTGCTGGGGTGCCGGGAGGGCTTCCTGGATCCCATCCCGGCCTCTTGCAGGCTGGACGGAGGGCACAGACCTGCTTCTCCCCTGGTCGCGGGCACCCAGCCCGCCGGCCCTTGCACAAGAGGAAAATGAGCCGGGTGACAGGCTGTCACCGTGCAGCCCAGCGCCTGGAGGGAGGCCGGGGCTCCCGCTCGGCCAGGGTGCGGCCTGCAGGCCTTCTCCCTCCCTCCCTCCCTCCCTCCGAAGCTAAATGGATCTTTCATTAAGATCAGCAAAATCCATTTTTAACTGAATTTGAAGGTCACCTGGCTTGGGCTCCCCGGGCTGTGGAGCGGCCGTCAGCACCGCCCTGGGACGGTGGCCCAGGTGGAGAACAGGCAGAGCTCAGAGGCCAGAGGCCCCGTCCAGGACGGCCGTGCGCAGGACCTCGGCCACCTGCCGCCTCTGTGCCACCGGCCAGGGTCAGGCTTCCGGGCCAGCTCAGTCCTGCCCAGCACGGCCTTTCTCTGCCTCACTTTCCTTGTTGTTGGCAAAGTGGTGATTCTAAAGCCCCTGGGGTCCCTGCCCACCCCGACAGCTGAGAACTTGAGGCCAGGTGACCATCCTGGGCGCCTGGGCCTTGCGGGTCCTGTTGGGTGCTAGGTCCTGGTCCCCTGGGGTGTGGGTGGGGCTGTGTTGGCAGCAGAGGGTGGCATGGGTGTGGCAGCCAGCCTTTCCCCCAGGGTCCCCCGGCACCACAGAACAGGTCCCACGGGGCTCACAGAGCAAGGAGCTGGGGCAGGGTCCCCTGTGCTGGCGAGAGGGTTGGGGGCCCCAGGAGGCTGTGTCATGGAGTCCTGGTGTGTGGGGGCTGGAGGCTGCTGAGATTCCAGCTGGGGGTGTGGAACCTTCCTGGGCGCCCCCTGGTTTGGACACACTGCCATCCCCTCCTCAGTGCCCGCCAAGCCCAGCACCCCAGGCTTCAGTGGGGCCATTGATGTGGCCAGTGGGTCTTGGTAAAGGCTGCAGGGTCCCGTGCACCCTGGCTTGGGTTTGCACCTGCCGTCTGCCAGCTGTGTGTGGAGTGCAAGGTCCTCGAGCCTCCCCCAGGTCCCTGGAACCCTGCAGGGCCGCCAGCGGCTCTGGGAAGCCCCACAGGAAGGTGGGGAGGAGGGAGGCGGTTTTTATTTTGAGACATAAACACCCTCTCCAAGGATACAGGTCTCTGTGTGTGTCCTCCCAGGCCATTGGCTGGCCGAGAGGGGACAGCTCGCTGTCTGCACCCCTCCCCCCGCCAGAGCCCTGTCCCTGGCCCATCGGCGTCCAGGTGGGACCGTAGTGTCCTCGCCTGTGCCTTTCCCACTCGGAATTTGGGGGCTGAGGTCCCAAGAGGACGAAATTGGGACCTGTTGTTCAGGGGGTGCTCGCTGCTCCTTCTGTAGGGGGCATCCGGAGCCCGTGTGGCCTGAGATCGAGGAGCAGCCGACCGCTGCGATGCCAGCACTGGCAGGACGCAGGGGGACAGGACGCAGGGGGGCAGGACTGAGGGGGACAGGAGCACAGGCCGGGCAGGTGCTTCTGCTTCCACTTTGCTTTCTGTCCTTGGTAAAAGAGCTGGGCTGCCACCGGCCTTCTGCCGTGTCTCCTGTCCTCCCTCCCGCGTGGCTGTCCGGGGACAGCTCTGACACCCTGTCACTCTCTTCTCCCCTCTGAGGTCTCGTTGTCACCATGCAGGTTACCTCTCCTAGGGACGCTTGCCCTGGCCCTGGCCCTGGCCCGTGACGGCCCTGCCAACACCTGTCACTGCCGTGACCTCACTGTCCCCTGGGTGCCCAGAGAGGAATGAGGTCACCCGGCCTCCTGAGGTCACATTGCGGGTGGTGTCGGGGGCAGGACCTTCCTGCAGCCCGCTGTCCAGGCCCCACCCTCTGTGGGCGCAGCTGTGTTCTGGTGTGGCTGGTGCCTGTGCCCTGCCCAGTCCATTGGGGGCCTGCAGACCACGTGGGCTGACCCTGAGCCGCAGACAGGAAGCCGGGCCGAGAGGCACCATTTTTATCTCCCGCCCGCTTTGTGTTGTGGAGCTGGAGCTGGAACCCAGCACCTCTCAGGGCTGAGCAGCACTGTGCCGCACGCCTTGGCTCTTTTCACCATGGACGTGGCCTTTCCCAGCCACGGAACCGGCCTTAGACTCACCGGCCTCCTGCCTCAGCCTCCTGGTAGCTAGGATGTCGGGTCTTGTTCCAGGGAGATGTCCTGGGGCTGGCGCGTCCCTCGGGCCTGGTGTTCATTGTGATGAACACGCACCCACGCAGCTGGCCACGTCAGCTGCTCTTGAGTGCCCAGTCCGGCGGCCAGCACTGGGCCTCGAGGAGAACCTTCACCCGGTTCCGCTCCAGACCCATCATCTGCTCAGAAGGAAACTCTGTCCCCTGGGCCACAGGGCCCCGCAGCAGTGCTGCAGGGGGTACTGCGCCCGTTGGTCCGGGCTCCCGGGTCCCCCTGCCGTCTTCTCCGTGAGACCCGGGAGGACACGGATGGACTCACGTCCATCCACTCAGTGTGCTTCCGGAATGATTTGCTATGTCTTCCCTTTTCAGGGTCTTTGGGTGTCGGGACGACAGACAGAGACAGCAGAGCTTTAAGATGGGCTCTCTGGCGAGTTTCTGTGGCTTCTGTGGAACGTTTGGTTAGTGGGAGGCTGAACAGGAGGAGTGCACGTTGAGCCCACCCAGAGTTTAGTGGCCCAGCAAGACCTTGTCTCAAAATTAGAAATCAAAACAAAACAAAAAAGTTACAACTCAGTGCAAAGGTCCAGTGTTCAATTCCCAGTATTAAAAAAAAGTTTAAGAAAAAAAGGTCCAGAAGGTTTTTGAAAAGTGAGTTGTTGGCAAAGGACCCTCAGGTGAGCGGCTCCAGGTGGGAAGTGCCGGGCCTGGCCGCGCCGGGAGTGGGGGAGACCAGGTGCAGGCCCTGCCCAGCCTGGGGGCGCAGGTGAGGTGCCCAGGCTCTGGATCTCATCCCAGAGAGGCAGAGGGGCTGGGCTGGTGTCCCCGCCCCAGTCAGTGCCTGTCCTCCTGGAGCTAGATGAGGCCCCCCCAGACTGCTGCCCCCTTCCGGGGTGCTGGGAGTGGGGGGCTCGGCCCTGGCAGGGGTGGCGCAGAAGGGGCTGTAGGCTTCTCAGAGCAGAGCACTGTCAGGGGTAGGGCTTGTCCTCATGGTGACCGGGCTGGTGTGCAGAGCTGCCCGTGGCTCCTCAGGAAGGCCTCCCCGGTGCAGGAGGCCACGCTGCGGTCCAGGCCACTCAGAGACTCAGCCAGGAGCCCGATGACCTCACAGGGGTCCCTGGCTCTCCTGCCAGATGCCCTCTGCTCCACTGGGGTCTGGCTGGGCAGGCTTCTACCTCCCTGGGGACAGGCCCCGGCCCCTGGCTGTGCCCACCCCGCCGCTCCTCCTGCTGGCCTGCACCCTGCACGTCCTGGGAGTGGGCTGGGGCTCCTTCCTCACTGTACTCTGCAGGCCCTGTGGGAGGGCTCAGCTTGGCTACGTGTTCCCTCCCTGCCCCGAGCTCAGTGGCCACCAAGCCGCCCTGGGCACAGGACACACAGGGTACACCGATGGGCACACACACACGGCTGCAGTGGGTGGCGCTGGGCCCCAGGCTCCGGGCCATCACTGCCCGGGTGGGGACAGAGAGGCAGGGTGCAGCCCTGGGGGGTGGGGGCAGCGAGGCAGCGAGGCTGCGTGGGGGACCCCACCCACGCCGCCAGCCCTCCGTGGCCGCCTCCTGACCTTGTGGTGTGGCATGAGCCATGCCTGGGTTCTGGAGCTGCCACTCCCAGCAGAGGCTGCCCACCCATTTGTCATCTGTAACAGTGTCACAGAGCCCCGGAGAGCAGCTATGGCTGCCACTGGAAGTGGTGCCACCCACGCCACGCACGCGCACGCACACATACGCACACACTGTGGACGTCTGCAGTCTTGAGTCCTTGCAGCTGACAGGAGCTCTGGGCCCCCCAGAACCTGCCCCCCGAGCCCCACCTGCCCGGTGCTCCATCCCTGGCTCTCTGTCCCGAGCCTCCGCGGTGAAATGGCGCAGGGCAGGCTGTGTGCGTGGCCCTCGGCCGTCAAGCCCGTGCTGGGTGGGTGCCTCACACCCCTCTAGGCTGTGCACAGGTGTCCGTCCTGCCCTTACACCTCGGTCCCAAGCCCCTGGGCCCCGTGACCCGGCTGCTGCCGCTGCTGTGAGCCCTCTCTGCGCCCCGGTGGCTGCGCTCCTGGTCTCTGGCTTCCTCCAGCGTCCGCACCACACCCCGGGACAGCAGTCCTGGTCCCCTCCGGTGCTGCGGGTGGCCGGGTCCCGGCTTTCCGGCGGCCCAGGCGCAGTGTCAGTGCCTGTGCCTGTCCCCAGGCCCCGTGTAGCACCCCCGACTGCCCCATGATGCCCGGCCTGGCCCTGTTCGGTGTGTGCGCTATGGCTGTGTGGGCCCCAGCAAGGACTTGGGGACCGACCTGAGGCCCAAGGTCAAGTGCAGGGAGACCTCGGCCTGGGGTCAGAGGCTGTCATGTGGGGCCTGTGCACGCGGCCCCCAACGTCAGCTCCTGAAGCCAGCTGCTGTCGTCGTGAGCCAGGGCTGTGGGTGAGGAGCCCGGAGCCCAAAGAGGCTGCTCCCCACCAGGGCGTCCTGCTGGCTTCCGCTCTGCGGTCCCTGAGCAGCAGGCTGGGGCCTTTGAATGCCTTACAGCTTGGCGTGTAGACCGTGCAGTGGACAGGGCGCCCACACCATCTGTTCCTGAGTGTGACCACGTGTGGGCAGGGGAGGGTGGCACAGGGTGGCCTCCCCCAGAGCTGTCCCTCTTTGTGTGAGGGTCACGCTAGGGCCTGGGTCACATAGGCAAACAGTGCCATTGTGGTGCTGCATTGGGCCTTGGAGGGCCATTGTTTGAAGGAAGTGGCCTTTGGTCCCCCCCAGGAGCTCTGGGTGGCTTCTGCTGGAGGCATCGTGGACCCAAAGTCTGAACAGGGTAGGAGGCAACCTGGGAGGGGAGGGAAGATCCAGGATCTGGAGGTAACAGCACATGCAAAGGCCCTGAGGTTGGTGATGGGAGGGATTAGAGAGGAGATGGCGGCAGTGAGTGTGGCTGTGATAGGCCAGGCGGAGCCAGGCTGAGGGGTTCTGGGGTGTCCTGGCCATTTCTGCCATGTGAGGGGCGCTCAGGACTTTGAGTGGGGATCACAATGAAACTAGCAGGTGCTGAACCTGTTTGGACCCTGCCTTTCCCAAGGAAGCAGGGTTTGCAAGCTCCCCCGCTTGGCGTCGGCCCCAACCATGCCCTCCTCCCTGCTGCACCCCCTGGGCCTCCAGGAGAGGAGCTGTGCGGCTGCCAGGACGGGAGCTGGCGCCCTGCCCGCTCTCCCCCAGGCCGCCCGCTTGGCGACGGGTTCCCGGCCCACAGAGGCGGCCAGCGGCTGGGCCAGGAGTGGGGCTGTTTACAGCCTCGTGGCCTTGGCTCCGGAGCAGTGGGCCGCCTGGCTGTGACGTGTTTGCTCTCCACACGGCTGCTGGCAGGCCCAGGGTCCCCAGCAGGGTGATGGGACGGGTCACCTCTGGGCTCGAGGTCACCTCTGCCATGGTGCCATGTGGGGGAGGAGGAATGGGCCCAGCACGGCCCCCAGCCCCTGGGCGCTGCTCCCAAGACCCCATTTGCCTCTCGGCCAAAGGCCCCGGGTCCTGGGTCAGAGTCCCACCGTCACCCGAGCCTCTGCCCCTGGAGCGGCCCCGGTCCCCAGGATGTGCCAGTGTGCCCCACGTGGTGGGAAGTGGCTGGGGAGCAGGTGTCCTCCGGCCCCCTTGTGGAGGTTCCCGCCCTGGCCCAGCTGGTTAGCGAGCCAGGTCCCCCGGCGGGTTGACCCCAAGGAGTCTGTCATCCCTCCCCGACTCTGCCTTAGGTTTGAAAAGCAGGTTCACAGCTCATGTTGCTGAGAGCTGGCCTCAGCCGGGTGATCAATCACTCAGTCACTCAAATATCCACCAGGCCATACTGGGTACAGGGCATGGCGACAGCATGACCATTTTGGGGTTGGAGTCTGAGAGAGGCTGGCTCTAAGTGGGCAGCACCCATGGGTGCCCTTAGCCCAGTTTGGAGAGTGGGAGGGCAGGGCACTGTGGCATCACGGTGTGGAATAACAGCTGGCCAGCCTGGTCCCTGCACAGGGACCCACCCAGGTGACCCAGGGAGGGATCTGAGGGGGACAGGGTGTCCTGGGTGCCAGGTGCAGAGCGGCGTGGGCAGTACCTGGCCTGCATCCCTGTCCGTGCTGGCTGGTGACTCTGCCTAAGTCCCACAGTGGCTCCCTGCCTCAGTTTCCCTGGCGTCCAGCCTGTGGTGTCTTTCCCCACCAGGTGTGGGTTCTTGAGCTCTGGCAGAGGGGACTGAGTGGCGGCGGGCGCTTTTGCTGGGTGCTTCCCTGACTGTGGGATCCCTTGGACGCTGGCCCTGCAGCCCTGGGCCCTCAAAAGGGATCGCGGAGACGTGGCACCTCCAGCCTGGGGTTGGCGGCTTTTCCTGTCCGGAACCAGACTGGAACGCTTGGGCCTTGTGGGCTGCATGCCTCCTGCTCCCCGATCTGTGTTCTCCGTGGTGTTTTTGTCCTCTGAGCCCTTGCCTGCTGGGTGGCAGTCACGTGGGTGGGTGTGGAAACTTCACACACCGCCCACAGCCGAAGTTCATGTTTGCGGAGCGTGGGCTGTGGCCAGAGCCTGCCGAGCTGCACGGGGTCGGCTCACTGTGGAGTTGTGCATGTTGAACCTGCTTTAACTGATGGGGAAACTGAGGCACGAGGGGCTGAGGGACCTGCCTGAAGCCGCAGCGCTGTAAGGGCTGTACCGGGATTTGAACCCAGGCTACGGTGGTGGTGTCCTTCCTCAGCACTGCTCTTCCCGTCCTCTGCCCGTGCCGAGCAACTCTGCTGTCCCCAAGGTGGCACCCACTGCTGCCCAGGCTGCCTGGCCTGCGCCCAAGACCCCCAAATCTGCAGCAGTCGTCCAGCCACTGCCTGTGACTTCACTGTGAGGCTGGAAGGCCAGGGGCTGGATCGGGGCGGGGAGGGCCCAGGGGCCACCGCAAGAGGCCACTCCACCTGGGGCAGCGCCAGGCCCAGGGGACCGGGCAGTGTCCCCGAGCACGGGTCACCAGGACCTCTGCATTCCCGGGCGCTCGGGGTAGAACAGGCTCTGGACAGGAGGACCCGGGCGCTGGCGGCAGGGAGGACTTGCGCTGAGCCGGGCGGGTACCGGAAAGCGGGGAGATGGGTGCAGAGAGGCGGCCTTTTGTTCCTGTTGCCGGTGGCAGCAGGAAACCTCGTGAGTCTTTCCCCAGACTGCCAAGGTGTCCCAGGCCTCGGAAACGCAGCACGGTGCCCCAGGAAGGTGTCCCCGAGGAAGAACCCTGTGAGAGGGAATCCCAGCACCCCAGGAACCCAGGGCAGGGGCAAGTTCAAGCCCAGCCTGAGCATCTGAGTGTCGTAGGAGCCAGTAAATAAACCAGCCGGGTGTGCAGCTCGGCCCTGGGCTCCGTCTCTGGGGGACAGACTCAGGGGCTTCCTGAGCATCAATACTTAGGGGGCAGAAGGAAACCACTCCGTGCCTCTGGTGGACACTTACCAGGCACTGAAGCCACAGCCTGAGCCCACTCAGGTGCCCAGTGGACCTCGAGGGCCACCAAAGCCCGGGCAGCACCGCAGCCTCTGAGCGGCCTCCGTGCCCATGCCCTGTTCCCTGAGCTTTCCTCTGAGGTCGCCTAGGGTCCCCGTGAGCTCCCCCGCCCCCCGGGTTTCCTCTGAGAGGATTGGTGCCTGTGGCCGCTCATTCCTGGCTGCAGGGGGTGAGGACACAGGACGGGGACAGGTGGGGACGCTGCTCTGCTGTGGGCTGGAAGCAGTGGGCCTCAGGGCCCTTGCTGCCCTCTGGGTCCTGGAGTATCCTTGCTGCTTTCCCGTCTATGCCCGAGGTGAGATCAGGGCCGAGGAGGTGGCTGAGGGGCATGGGCGCCCGCCCCAAGCATGTTCCTGATCACCCAAGGGAGCCAGGCGTGCTGGGATACACCTGTCCCCGTTACTCAGGAGGCTGAGGCAGGAGGCTCTCTGAGCATCTGCGGGGAGTGAGCAGGAAGCAGGCAGTGCCACGTCTCTGGCCGCCTGGGGCTGAGGGCCGAGGTGTGAGCGCCTTTTCTCTGGGGCGGGGTTCCCACAGAGGGCAGCTGCAGAGGGGCCCAGCTGTCGGAGCCTCCGTCCTCAGCACTGTCCCGGGGCTCAGCGTGAGTCAGAGGACACCCCTCACGTGTCCCTCCTGCCCACGCCCTGCAGTCTCCGGCCTCCCCTGGGCCCTGTGGGTGTGGGGTGGGTGGCCAGCTCGTCCTCTGTCGGCCCTCAGGTCTAGTGGGACCACAGCCTGACGGTGGGCTTGTCGTGTTCTGTCCGTGTGGACATTTCACCAAAGGAGCCCGTTT